CATCAGCACCCTGAAAGGGAGGGGTGAGTGCCGTGGCTCCATGGCCGCCTGTCCTGGGATGTCTGGGTTAATGCACTGCACAGTACATTTGATTCCTGTCGATGCCAAGGAAGGTCTTGGGAAGTCTGTTCTAATAAAGGCACTTGTGTCTGAGTCGCAATTGGCAAAGAAGCAGCCCTCCAGGCCTTTGAATGTGCTGCTCCCGCCACGTGGAGTGCAGGTTCTCTCCCCGCCTCCCCATATCCATCTGGCAAACTTCCCCCTACTGTTCAGGCTGCGGTCCAAGAGGGTCTCTTGTGGGAAGCACCCCCAGACCCCTCCTTCCTTCCTCCATACCTTGTGTCCCCTGTGCTCTAGCTGCAGGATGGTGCCAGGCTACAAGCTCCCAGAGGGCATACACCAAGCCACCAGCACGGTGCGGGGCACACGGGGGTGGCCACATCTTCAGGGAACCACGGGACAGGTTGCTGATTGGGTGGGCAGCGGCTGCCGGCCAGTCAGACAGCCATAGGATGACCAGCCTCTGGGGCTCCTGACAGCCAAGGCAGAGAACCCCACTCCGAGAGGCCCCTTCATCCCATCGTGCCTTGCCCTGCAGCTCCCACCTGTCTTCCAGCTCTGCCTGCTTGCTGCATCACAGTGTCTCCTACCTGTGGGAAGGACCCCCCAGGACGTAGGTTTTCCGTGGACTGTAGAAACAGGGCTGCCTTGTGGCACAACCGTGAGGGGCTTCATTCATCACATTGCTTCAGGATTGGCACTCCCTGTGGGTGTGCAAGGCGTAGCCTCCACCTTTACCCGAGGTGGCCAGTGTCCCTGCCCTGGGGCTCTCCTTGTCCCTCCACTCCTGCATGTCCGGCACTGGCCTTTGGGGTCTTTGGGTCCACCTCTGGAGGTAGAGGCCATGTTCATCAATCACGTGGGGCACATGGTGTGGTAATAACAACAGAGCCTCTCAAGGGAGCTCCTAGGAACCAGGCCCAAGTGCAGGCAAATTGTGTCATGAATCCTCCCCACACGTTGCGTGACATGAGATCGCCCTATGGGATGGCGAGGACGGATTGCTTTGGAGGGGGCAGGATGGTTACCAATGTGTTTGAACCAATATTCAAATGTTTTTACATCGCCTGGAATAAAATGGGAGAAGGGGGCCCCAACATCCCTTGCAGGCGAATGAGACAAACACAGAAAGGACAGATGAGCTACTGGTCTGCCAAGGGCACAGTCCAGGATGGAAACTAGGGCCTTCACTGCTGAATGTTTCTTAGAAAGGAGCCCAAGGCCACCCATTGTGTGTGAATACCATCTCAGGTGCACCATCCTAGGGAAGCAAGAGTGGGGGAAAAGAGAAGTGAGGCAGGGATGGGAGAGAGCAGATGCAGGCTGGCCACAGCTTTGCAACAAAACACAGCCGGCTGCTCGGGCACCCAGCATGCATCCGGAGAAGCCACATGAAGCCACATGGGGCCCCCCCGCATCGTAGACCAGTTGACTGGGGGAGAAGAAAGTCAAGAAGTTTATCTCTTGTCTCTTTCCCATTTCTGCCTCTCTTTGGTCAAAGCATATGTCCTGGGGCTTTTCCTGTCCCCACTTCAGAGAGTATCACCGGACCCTGGGCAGTGCGCAGCACAGGGGTCTCTCCATAGGAGTCACCTCCTTTTCTGGGGGCAGGGGCAGCAGTGGCTTTATGACCGTGGGACTGAGTGGCAAGGTACATGGCCCAAGTCAGTGAGCAGATCTGGGGTGGCATGGAAGCTAAGTCCTGTTTCTTGGAATCGGCACAAAATGAGCCTGATTTCAGCAAAGGATTTGATGAGGAAAGGCTAAGGGGACTGATGTCTGCAAGTATAACCTTTGTTTCCCTCATGGGCAGATACATTGGTCTTCACATCTGGCGAGATCACGGTGAGCTATCCCTGTCTTCATCGAGAAACTGAATGTAAACTATAAGAAGTCAGCAACATGCAAAAAAACTCTGGATAGTTTTTAGGATAGATAGGAACTCAGCTGCCCACAACCCTCATTCATTAAGGATGTATTGCCGTGTAACAAAATGCTACACACTCCACAGGGTTAACATGACACACAGTTATTATCTCACAGTGTCTGTGGGCCAGGAGTCAGGGCACGGCTGGATGGAGTTCTCATCTCTGGGTCGTACACAGCCACAATCAAGGGCTTAGCTGGGGCTGCGGTCTCCCTGGAGGCTCGGTTGGAGAAGGACTACGTCTAGGCTTCCTTGAGTTGTCAGCAGAATCCAGTTCCTTGCAGTCGTAGGACTGAGAGCTTCGGTTTCTTGCTGGATGTTGGCCAGAAATCTCTCTGAGCAACCAGGGGTCACCTGTAGTTCTTGCCACTTGGGGTTCCCCTGATGGCCGCTTGCATCCTCAGAGCCATCAAGGGAGGAAAAAAAGGGGGTCCAACAAGACAGGTGCTACATCTCATGCAACGTTGTCCCATATGCATCGTTGTGTATGCCCCTTTGCTGTATTCTCTTGGCTAGAAGCAAGTCACAGGTCCCACCCACACTTAGCAGAGGGCATCCCATACAAGGTGTGAGCACAGGAGGCTGGAACTGTGGGGGCCCCTTAGAGAATCTGCCCACCACGTTTTGTTAGAACTCTACTTACAGGCAAAAGCATCAAATAAGTTACCCGCCCTCCCAACAGGTTTATATCAGGAACTAAGTTAAAAAAAAACAAAAACAGAACTCCATGGGGTGTGCTGAGTCAGCCTACGCAACCGTCTACAGCCCCCAGTCTGTGCCAGTAGAGAAACAGGCCACGGTCCAGTCCATTCCGCCCCTCCTGGATGTTCTTTGAAAAGACAAGAAAATGGGCTCCGTCAACAGAAAGGGAGGCAGAGCCTTACTCCAGCCTTACTCCGTTGTCAATATTTAAAAAGCTTTCCACCATTAAAAGGGCAATTCTCTGCTTAAATATCAACAAACCAGAGCATTCAATTACCTCGAAAATCCCCATTCCTAAAATGTTCAGGGAACCCGAGCCTGCTCAAAAAAAACAAAGACAGAGATTCTGCGTCCCATGCAGTGGTTGTTCGTAGACTTGCATGGAACGAGTGAGCAGCCACTGAATTGAAGGGACCCCCGTCGGGGTGGGGAGGGGGGCTCAGATTCGGGGCTGTCTTGGTTGGCCCCCACCTGCGGCTGTCTCTTCCTTGGGGCCTTTCTCCATGGCTCCTGCCTGCCTGGCCTCACGTAGGCTCAGCCACTGTGTCAAGACGTAATTGACTGAGTGCCTCAGGCCAGTCCAGGCTCTGCTGAGCCCATCAGGGCAGGAACAATGAGGTGGCACCTCAAAGGAGGGAGGCTGTTTCTAAGGCTCATGGTTGATGGCCCGCAGTCGCTGTGATTACCATTTTAATTGCACGGCCACCACTACCTGATATTCAGGGTGCAGATTTCAAAGACCACAAAGCACTCTGCAGGCTTTAAAAAGGGACCCTGGAACAATCAGTTTCAGACCAGAAGGAGCTCATTATGGTATCTTTCTCTCGTGGGCTCCATGTTGCAATCAGACTCTCCCAGAAAGGACAGATCTGACCGTCCGTATCAAGGTCTGACTCAGATCCCACCTCCTCTGGGACTTTTCCCCAAACCCATACTCCTTCCCATTCTCTCATGTGACCCTGGTCCCACTCCCTGACCCAGACCCCCTTCTAAAACTCACTACTCCTACCTCTGATTTGGCAAAAAAAAAAAAAAAAACAAAAGAAAAAACCTACAAAATTCCGACATCTCTCCCCGTGGTGTTTTGAGATGGAAATACCTTCACACTCTATCTTACACTCCCAGTGGGATGCTTCCTTCTTAGTGGCCGGGAGGCGTGTCTCGTTCTTTGTCGAGATCGTACAACTGCCACAGTGCTCTGTGCGCTGGTGAGGCTTTTGCACGCCTGTCCCTTGCGCTTGGCACATTTGTGACTCAAAACACTGCCTCAGTTAAGTCCAATTTTGTGAGCTTTCCAGAGGAGAACGTTCACAGCTGCTTTTTTCTTTTTCAGAGTGAACAGTGTATTTAATAAAGAGCCTTTGTATTGGGCACACAGGAAATGCTTAATACGTGTGACCTGTTCTCATGGCTTAGAACCCGCAATCAGTACCAACCTGGGGTTCATGAGTTGACAATGACCCAAGCCAAGATATGTCAGCCCTTCCTGATTTTTTTTTTTTTTTTAAAGACAGGTATATTGAGGAATAACGGATACGCAGTAACATCTGTCCTCGTGAGTGGACGGTTCCGAGTTTGGAGAACTGGGCACAATTGCCATACAGTTTCTTTAGCCATAAGTTCCCGCACATTTTGATCAGGAGCTCTTCATCGTGTGGTCTCCTGCACACTTCGTCTGGAGTACTCGGCACCTGCTTCCAGAAAAAAATGCCCTTTTCCCTTCTCTCGGCCAATCTAGGAGCCATTTCCCACTTGACCTCCGGGGAGCATCTCTCCTGAGGGGGCAAATCCAGAGTCAGAACAAAGTGTCCCCACAGGTGTCAGGGTTGGTGTAGTTCTAAGAGGCCTCACTTGGTGGCAAGAACACTGGAATGTGGTTGGGTCATAACAAAGCGCATTTGGATCACTGAAATTTGGCGGGAGGCAGAGCAGACTGGCAGGACACGTCCTGACCGTGTGCACGTGCTCACAGTTGGGTCCTGTCCACACTGGCTGTCCGTGGGTGGGACAGGTAGAGGAGGGGAGAGCATGGGCTGCAGACCGTTAGGAGCCTCTCTGAGGGCAGGACAATGTCGTATTCTGACTTACGTCCCCAGCACTTCGCATGGCTTGTATTGGTGTCTGTTGAGGGACCTAGTAAGTGGTCGTAGGTCACCATGGGGCAGGGCCACACCATCTTGGAGCAGACCTGTCCATCACGTGCTGGTTTCTGAAGACAGTAGGGAGGGGAGGGGCGTGGTCTCTGCTCTCCAGGGAGCCCTCCCGTCCATCCGTGGTGACATCAGCAGCCCCCTCACTTCTGTGCTTGCAGAACTACTTTGAGAGCTACCTGACCGTTGCCTCCACCGTCTCCAGCGTGCTATGCCTCATGGCGAACTTCCTGCTCGTCAACAGGTAGGCCACGTCCCTCCCTCTGCCAGCCCTGCCCTGTGCCTCCAGCCCTCTCCCAGTGCCTCTCTCTCATGGCTGCTGGTGTGGGCTGCTGGTTTTCAGCTGCTGTAGGGGCAGGCCCCCAAGCAGGAATCCGGCAGGAAAGACCGAAAGGTCAGACAGGCGAGCCAGGGCCCCGTCGAGGGAAGCCAGGACCGGGAGCTGGACTTTCACTTCCCAGCCACATGCTAGGACCCTGTGTCAGCAGCCAGCAGGAGGCATGTGGGGACCCTCCTCTTCCTCCTTTTCCATCTGGGGAGCCTGTCTGTTACCAGCTGCCTGAGTTGCAGACGGTGTGGCCGGAGGCCAGCATGTGGATGGGTGGGCCCGGGGGGAAGGGTGGGCAAGACCTGTGGAAGCTGGTCTTTTTTAAGATTTTTAAAATGTATTTATTTTAGAGATAGAGGTGGGGAGAGCCAGCAGGGAGGAGCAGAGCGAGAGGGACAAGCAGACTCTACTGCGCGCAGAGCCCAACGCAGAACTCGATCCCACGACCCTGAGATCATGACCTGAGCTGAAATCAGCAGTCAGACACTTAACTGACGGACCCACCTGCAAGCAGTTCTGAGAGTGTCAAGAGCCTGGCTCCCCATGATTCTGGCTCTCGCTCCATGGAATGGGCTGCCAGCTCATGTGCTGACTACTCAGAGAGGCCCTGTGGGGACCTCCTGACACTGTGTTAGAGTAGGGGTTGGGAGAGAGCGCCATGGCTGCACTGTGGCGGAAGAATGATGCAGGAGACAGCCAGGCAAGTTAGCATGGCCCTTAGACTCCACCGGGGGACTCTTGTTCTCCATTGAGGTTTGCAGGAGCACTAGCCCTAGCTCCTTGGCCCACATTTCCCCTAAGCTACCAATAGGAACCTGGGCTCCTCTGGACCCAGCCACCTGGAACCTTAGATCCCCGATGGCTAATCAGGTTTACCCAGCTCTTCTAACTTTGCAGTGCCGGCCTGGATCTCTGGTGGAACAGGTCTCCGAGGCAGGTCTTGCCTCAGGCAGTGTGCTGGGACTGATGGGTGGGGTCTGCTCTGAGCACGGGAGGAGAGAAGCAGCATGTGGGCTAAGCCTGGATAGCCTGGCCCTTCCCAACATATTATGCAATGGGGCTATTGCAATTATCTGTCGCGGCATTCAAGTGATCCCCAAGCGTGGTTGCGGTTTAAACACTAACAGTATGAGTCTGTCTCACGATCTGGGTGCTATCGGGCTAGTTGGCAGCTCTGTCTTCCTGCCCCTCGTGTGGTCGCAGACAGTGCGGCTGGAGCTGCTGGCCCTTCTCTGGCCCCCATCTCTTTCTCCTCTCGTCTCCCCTCCCCTCCCCATGGTCTCTTGCATGGTGACCTCAGGTAGTAGGACTTTCTGAAGAGCAGGTGCTTGAACAAGCAAGGCAGAAGCTACATGGTTTCTGTAAGCTAGTCTCTGTGGCCACATGGTGTCACTTAAGCCGGACTTGGCTGGGCAAGCACTCCCCAAGGTCACTTGGTTTCGAGGGGATGTAAACCCACCTGTCGATGGAAGGAGAGACAAGAATTTGCACCCATTTAAAAACCAAAGTACAGGCCGTAAGGGCAAAGAGCACAATGGGGCTCAGATGGCCTTGAGGTAAGCCTGCTGACCCTACCTTGCCTCCTCCCGCCTTCCCCTGACACACGGGGCTACCCTCCATGTCCTCAAAGGTGGGGCGCAGCCTCAGAGCACCCCCCCCCCGCCAGGAGGAATGAGTGGAGGAATGGAACTCAGAGCAGGGCCAAGTGTTTCCTCCACACTCCTGGTCCCTGGAGGGAAGAGCTATAGGAGAGAAGGCAGGAAGAAGGGAAGGGAACAGAAAGGAGGAGGAGGAGGAAGAGGGGGTGACAGCCAAGGTGGTGGAGGGCCCCTTGGTCTCTCACCACGCCCTCCTTTCTAAGACTTTCTCGTGACCCTCTCTGTCCACTTGCCTGGCTGGCCTGGGGACACAGGTTTGTCCAGCGGAGACAACCAGGGCTCATGTAAGTGAGAGCCCCCACCCCCTTCTAGATCTGGCGCCAGTATCTGAACTATAACAAGGGGTGATGCCTGGTGACACACAATAACCTGAGAGGGAGGCCCTGACATGAGCCCCTTTCCAGGGGGAAGTCAGGAGCTATACCCAAGACCACAGGACCAGTGCAGGGTGGCCCAGGCTGGCATTGTGCGTCCTCTGTGGTCATGAGATCCAGCAGGCCAGAAGCCGGCCTGGGACAGTGGTCAGCAACAGGGAAGGTTGGCCCTCAGGACACTCAGGTAGCACTTCAGAGCACTCGTACCCCTTAAAGCTTTGTCTCCTTTAATCCTCCCAACAGCTGGAAAGCGGGAAACTCAGTACCTTGCTTTACAGATAAGATAGGCACATGGAGGTCAAATTCACAGGGTGAGTCCAGACGGGAAATGGGACCCTCCTCGCCCCACACTTGTACTTGGAACCTCTGGGTCCCCCAACTCCTCCCTGTGGCCAGAGCCACACCTCAGAGCCTTCTGCCCTGGCTTCAGGCAGCTGGAAGGAAGGAGGTGGTAAAGGAGGTCTAGGTCTGCCTGCAGTGGGGACAGGGGACCGCCCAGGTAGCCACCCTCCCAAAGTCAGGCAGGGAGCTGGCTGTGAAGGCTCAGCACTATAGGGCTTCTTCCAGAAGTTTCAGCCCATCCTAGGGCCTGCCCTTGCCCTCCTCCGTGTAGGAGAGGGATGAAGGCAATGTGGGGAATGCTTGCGGGCCTCCGTCTGTTTCTGGGCTGTGGGAAGATGGTTTGCGGCTAAGCTGTTTTTTATTTAATGCGCGAGATTGAAACGTCTCCTTTTCTCCCCTCCTGGAGAACCCTGGCTTTCTCTGACTGGCTCATCCATAATCTCCAAGTGTTTTATTATGTTAAATCTGTAGCATCATAAATACTTATGAGTAGAATTTACATTTGAGAGACTTATGAAGAAATCAGTCCCCTGGGGTCCTGAACAAGGGGGAGGGAAGCTGGCAGCCCTAGCCCTTGCCCAGAATCTCACATTCCTATGGCCTGCCCAGGGTCCCGGGGCTGAAGCAGTTGTCTCGGCCATCCCCTGTCCCAGAGCAGAACCCCTGACACCAGGGCAGCCTTAGTCTAGACTGTCTCTACCATCTTGACGATGTCCCTGTCCCCCTGGCCATTCTCTCGGCCCAGGTGGAAGAAGCAAAGAGAGGCCAGCGTGCCCCCGTTATTGCACGTGGGGTGGGTTCCATGTAGCACATCTCATAAAGCTTCGTGGGCATTGAAGAGAGCTCCATGCAGGACCCCTGAGGACCTGGGGCAGAATGGGTCACGTGGCAGGTGATTTGCCGGCAAGGAGGAGGCCTGTGCAGGCGAGGGACCTGCAGGGACTCCGTTGCTCCTGGCCTGCCTTTGACATTTACCTCCTCACCTCCCACCACCCTGGGGGTGCTGGGCGAGCAGTCCCCCAGCTCCCTCCAGAGCAACCTTCCTGTAGGGGCAACTAATTACCTTGTTGGGACAGGCGCCAGAGAGCTCCTGGGACACCACAAGCATGGACTTCGTCTTCACCAGGGCTGGGAGGAGGTGATTAGAGGCAGAGCCCACACCTGAGGCTGGCTGGAAACTCCGTATTTCCAGGGGTCTGCCTGCCATACTTGGGGGGGTCAAGAAGCAGAAAGTCTCCCTCTACTGCTAATAAGCCTTGCCTGTCAGTTTGTGTGGTCCAGCAGGGACTCACCAGGTCCCTCCCAGGCCCTCTGTCCACCCTGGGCGGGGGGGCAGGGGAAAACAAGACAGAGCACTGTCCTGGCGGCACTCCTCCTGTCTCTAGTCTGCCCTGGGCCTCCTTCTTGCCCCAGGGATCTGGTAAAGCTTTTTGGCCTCCATCGCCACCCTCTCTCTCTCCGTAACTATCTTAATATTTACAATTGTAAATGGCAACGTTATGCTGACCCAGGCTCTGAGCTCTTGCTGGCTCTTATCTTTGGGGCATGGGGCAGCTTCAGCTGCTGGGGAAGGGTGGAAGGCACTGTGCGACCCGGTTGAGTGTGGAGAACCAGCCCGAGCGTCAGAGATAGGCCTAACCACCAGCTTCCAGGACTGCTGGTGTGCACTTACACTAGATACTCTGGGCCCCCAGGGGTCCAGTTGCTCTACCTGGCTGCCCGCCAGCTCCTGCCCAGGATGAGGCCCCTGCAGACCCTGGGAAGATGCATCATGGTGTGGGGTTCCCTAGAAACAGCCCCTGCAACAGGGATTTGAAGTGTGAGCCCTTTACTTGGGAGGTGAAGGTAGGAGAATGGAGGGGGGCGATGAGAAGGGAAGGCAGCCAATAAAGCATGCCTTACCAAACCAGCTCCCACAGAAAGAGACCGAGCTTGACCTGCCTGGGGACTCTGGGACCCAGTGTGGAAGGCACACCTGAGGGGGAGGGAGCCGGGGTGTTTATCCACCCACTTCCCCCCACCCATTGTTGGTTGAAAGGTGCTCTTAGGAGATGTTAATTACCTGTCACTTGCAGCCTGTTTCCAGGTAGAGGGATGGTGCACTGGGCAGATCACCCACCAGCTAGAAGCCTTGATGTGCCTCTTTGTGTGAGTTAGCATTCTTGGTAACAAACAACAGAGACACAAAAAGGGTTTTCTCATTCTTGACCTGGAAAACTAAAATCAGGGCTGCTGCCACACATAGCTGCACATTGCTGGATCTAGGAGATCGTGTATGTGCCCAGGGCTGTCCTCTTGCACTGTCCCTGGGCTCTGTGTGTGTGTCTGCCTGGCTTCATCCCAAATGTGGTCTCTCTCCATGCAGCTGGCCAGGTGACAACCAGCAGCCCCCAACACGGTCATGGCAGGGAAGGAACTTATCTCCACCTTTCAGTCCTGGAGGGCCCTCACTGGCCTTGCCTGGCTCACATGCTAATCCCAAACCCAAACCAGTGACCTGCCCCTGTGGCATAGGACACTCCAGTTACCCCAGACCCAGTCATCATGTGTCCATCATCTGTGGCTTGGTCAGGATGGACAAGGTGGCCAGCCACCTCTCCAGAATAACTTGGCATGGAAGAAAGAGTATGCCTCAGGGAAAGGATGATGGCAGACGAAACCTGCACATGCACCCTACACCCTGCCCTGAGGGTCAAGCCTTGGCACTTAGCAGCTGGACTTGGCCCTCCAGGATAGGGCTCTGCTTCCCTCCAGCCTCTGCTCTCGATCTCACCTGCAGTCTGAGGCCAGGTCCCTGCACGTGCCATGTCCCCTCTCACCAGACACGTGCCCTCACATCCCAACACTCCTTATACTCCAGGTTGGGTACCTCCTCCAAAAAGACTCTGCGACCCTCAGGCTGGGTTTTGTACCCCCTTGGATGCACCCAGAATGCCCTGGGGCCCTCCCAATGGAGCACTGTGCACACTAAAGCAAAATGCCTGTCCGGGGCTGGGGTCACCCAGCAGGTGGCTTGACACACCGGAACTATCTGATAAATGTTTGCATAACAGACACCAGAGAGAATGCATGTTGGCAGATAGCCCTGGGCGGAGGCTCAGCAGACCTGGGTTCTCTTCCCCTGCTCCCCACGGAATCACACCGAGACCTTTTTCTGCCCCTTCACATCCGCAGGCTTCCCTCTACCCTTTACGCAGCAGAGGTGGCACCTGCCCTCCCTCCAGCAAGGATCAGAACCAAGATCAGAGAAAACTCCAGTTAGCCCGGAGCCGCAAAAGCACTTTGAAAAATCCTTGCTTCTCATGCTCATCATTTCACACCTATTTATGTACATATATATGTAGATACATTTTTTTTTTACCTTTCAGGTCTTTCTTTTTATAAAAAAAAAAAATTTTATGTGTGTATAACTAATCTGGCTTTTCTCCCAGCCCCCACCCACTGGTTCTCGGGAAAATTAACCAAATATCCAATCTGGCTTAAAGCTTAGTCTAATCTGATGAATTAAACAGCCCCTTTCCATGATATTCTCTCTCCCTGGAATAAAAATGTGCAGTTTCCTGGAGAGCCAGCCTTCCCTGCTCCTCGCTTCAGGGAAGCATCTGGGCGGTTGGGGGCCCAGAGGAGCGTGTGGTTTGCGTTGTGGGTGTGGGACTGGCCCAGGGCTGCTCTGGCTTGGCGTCAGCGGCTGCCCGTGACAGCTGAAACCGTCGCAGGAGAATCCTTCTGCCCCAGCCTGTTCTGGACCACCCACATTCCCTTCCTTCCAGGGAAGCCGTAGAGTGTCCTTCTGAGAGTACAGACTGGAGCCAGTCCTCTCGGGGTCACAGTGAGTGACCTTGAGCAAGTTCTTTAGCATCTCTGACCTCAGTTTCCTTCCTTGTACCTGTAGGACGGTCAGAGGGCCTGTCTTGCAGGGCTGGCGTGAGAAGGCAACAAGTCAGCATGTAGAAACATTCCGAAGGGTACTTGGCATGGGTTTAGTGCTATCTGGGTGATCGCTCTATGATGAAGATGGTGTTGGTTTACTGCTCATCTCCCTCCTCCCGCCACTGCTAAGTTTTGGGAGAAGGAAGCCCAGATGGTGGTGACTTTGTTGAAACACTAGCCAAAGCCAGTGGGAGCTCAGCTTGAGAGCAGGGGCTTGCCTTGAGACCTCCTGTCCTGTCCTTGAACCTCACAGCAAGATGAAAAGAAGCAATATCCACTGAGCATTTGCCCTGAACTGATTCTGCCCCTGCACTCCACACGCTCCCCTCCAGAGACCCTCACCACCACCCCTGCAGGTGGATCCATCCTCCTCCCTGCTGTACAGACACAGGAACTGAAACCAGAGAGATGGAGTCACTGACCCAAGGCCACACAGCTAGTGAGCCAGGAAGGCAGGATTCAGGCCCAGGCCTCCCGGCTGCAGAGTGTCCCTTAAGAACCTTCCCCACCAGCCCAAGGGGATCTGTGACCGCTTCTGGCATCCCCCCACCCCGCCCAGGGTTCCGATTCGAGTCCGTGTGCTGGCCTCACTGACTGTCATGCTGGCCATCTTCTTGGTGATGACTGCACTAGTGAAGGTGGACACCTCCTCCTGGACCTATGGCTTCTTTGCTGTCACCATCATCTGCATGGCGATTCTCAGCGGGACCTCCACCATCTTCAACAGCAGCGTCTTCGGCATGACAGGTTCCTTCCCCATGAGGAATTCCCAGGCGCTGATATCAGGTAAGAGCCAGCCTCCAGACAGCAGACCAGGTTAGTCTACCTGGGGGGTCATGCAGAGGGACATGCAGTTACCCTTCCAGAAAAGGCAACAAGTGTTAGCTCTATTTGCACTGTCTATTATTGGGTAACAAAGCACCCCAAAACTTAGTGGCTTCGAACGATAGGAGTCATGTCTTTGGCTCACAGATCTGCAACCTGGGCAGGAGTCGGCAGGGACAGCTCAGCTCTCCTCTGCCCTGCACGGCATTAGCCGACAGAGTAGAGCTGTGGGCTGGAGGGCCCACTCTGAGAAACTCAGCCAGGCTGGGGCCTGGGGCCTGAGGGGTTCCTCTCTACCAGGGTCTCGGCACGGCCTGGTGGGCTTCCCTGGGGCATGGTGCCTGGGTCACCAGAGTGAGCATCCCAGGAGACCCAGGCAGAAACATTATTTCCTTTCATAGCTTAGATGTGGAAGCCATTTATGGCCACGCCCACCATAGCCACGAGCCCACGGGCCTTTGAGGGGAGAGAACACAGACCCACATGCATCAGCGGAAGAGCATGAAAATCATCCTGTAAGAAGAGCAGCTGGGAGGGAAGCCAGTTGTAGCCCCTTTCGGCAAACATATCCGTCTACCGAGTGCATCTCCTGCAACAGCATTCCTTTCTTCCCTTCCTCCTAGTCCCCTCGCCTTCTCCTGTCCCCTGCTTTCTCTTTCCTTTGCCTTCCTCTTAGCTTCTCCCCCTTTTCTTCCTTTCTCATTTTATAGAAGACCTACTATGTGCTAGGGATTCAAAGATGAACAGACCCAGCCTCTCGGGAGCCGATAGCCTAGCAAATAAGCACCTCCATGACCCTGAACTTTGGCCATCTCTGGAAATGCAGATGCACCACTTGGGTCAACTCCTTTGGCTGAAGTTTGATGCTGATCCTAAGCCCGTGGTCCAGGCCTTTCACAGCTCTGTTCCCTCGCTCAGATGTCCCAGCAAGAAAAAAAGGAGTAGGGTCAGTAAGAATCTGTGCTTTCACAGAAGACCACCGTCCCTTAACATGAGACTGGGAACTCAGCAGCTGTGTTCAGCATCGAGCACGTCCCTGTTGTGTGAAGGAGGGTCATAAGCATTGGCCCACTTGAAAAGAATTTCACAAAGAATCTCTTCTGTGTCCATGAACATCACTAATAGATCCGTTTCTCTCCCCCGAGCCTCCCATCCCTTCTCAACTCAGCACTGGCGGTATTCCTACCTGCAGATCAGAGTTCAGATGTGAGCTCAAGTCTGTTTACCATTTTGGACATAAGATCAGGCTTTTGGCTCTGTCCGGGGAAATCCTTGGTTCTAAAGTAAAATGAAAGTGGGCCCATGGCTAAGTTTCTTGAGTACAGTCAATATGCCTGTAGCAGGGCTTTGAGAAGGACATTCCTAGCCTGAGGGAAATGGCCCCCAAGCACTGGATGTGATCTCGTCTGTCACCTGAGTCTCAGAGAGAACCCGTCATCTCCCTCCATCCTGCTGGCAGATGTATTTTTCCTTACAAACACCTTGCTGGCTACCTGTCTACCAGTGGCCAAAGCCACCATTTATGCTGGCAGGGGGTCCTTCGGGTTCATCGGGCTACCCGGGAATCTTCTCGAAAAGGGGACTCTCTTGTGAATTTTTCAGAAATTCCATGTTTGAAAAAGTGGAGAAGTCTGGCTCTCACACTTCGGTACTGATTACCCCAGGCCCTAAGCCAGTGTCATCACTCGGCAGGGGGTTGGGAGGAGCCATCAGGAGCCCCTCACCCTGGAAAATCCGAGGTGGCCCCAGCTCCCAGAGGCCCCAATGCCATCTCCCCAGCCCCCGTTATTTCTGGACCAGAGGAACCCATCTGTGAATTCTGCATGTGTAGGCATCCGAGGAACAATTCATTTGTTTTGTACTGGTGTTTTTTTAAGCCCCTCATTTGCATGTATTTCCATAACTGATGAGATAAAAGTAGGGAGTCATGAAAGATGAGCTCCCGGAGGCCTGGTTTGTTGTTGATGATAATATTGTAAATTCCCTACAAGTTGGGGAGAGAGAGGGAAATCAATAGGCGGTGATGTTAAGATCTCTTCCTTAGGCAGCCGGCAAGTGTCTTACTCAAATTGAGCTCCAGTTCTTACAAAACATCCAGGTGGGGATTACAGCTTCTCTGAAGCTGGCACCCTCTTGGCAAGGGGTTTACCCTGTTGTTGCTGCTTTGATGTAGGAAGGACAGAAATAGCCAAACACCTTATCGGGAATCTGAGAGGTTCATAGGCACTCCTCTGTGCCGGGCACCATTCTCAAGGCTTTCGGGCTCAGGATCCTTTTTATCTTCGTAAGAGCCCTTTGATGTGGGCATTAGTAACATCCCCATCTTACAGCTAAGGACACGGAAGCACAGAGAGGTTCAGTGACTTGCTGAAGGCCACACAGCCAGAAGAGGTAGAATCAGGATGGGACTCAGATGTTCTGGTTCCAGAGTCTGCTCTTTGTCTTCGCTGTGCTAACCTGAATCTCTTTGCTGTCCTTTCAAATCCCGATCTCTGGCCCCACCTGGGCGAATAAAGTTCACAGGGAGGTTAGGGAGGAAGGATCTGTGGTGGGAGGCGGTGGGCTGTTCCCAGCAGAGCTGGGGTCAGAGGGGTCAGGATCCCATAGGGGTCAGGCAGAGTGTGGGTGAGGATCTCAACTGTTGCTCTGGGCTCCTGCTCTGAGCAGCACCCAGCAGAGAGTGCCACCTGGTCACATCTGTGTGACAGTGACAGGGCTGACCCTGCCCGCACAGAACACTTTGCTGTTTGCTGCCTGCAGTCACCCACCTCCTCGTCTCCCTGAGAATCCGTGTCCTGGCCTCCTGGCTGTCAATGCCGACAGACTCATTCATTCAGCCAGGCAGTGCGACGTACTCACCAGACCTCGGGGGATGGAGGACGAGTATTAGCTCCATTTTCCAGGCAATGAAACAGAGGTGGAGAGGAGTAAATGACTTGGGGGCACGCACGGCCATGTCTGACTTCTGAGTCTTGCCTAGCACAGGTTGACTACCCACGGTTGTGAGGGTTCAACAGGGAAGTAAGGTCCATCCCCCCATCTCCCCACCCCGCCTCCCAGAAGTGACAGTGTGATTGCAGCAAAGAAGGGGACCGACACTTGTCGAAAGCCGACTGTGTATGGGCCCTTTCCAGACATGAGCTCAGGCCTCACAGCAGCTGTTCAAGGCAGGGCTTGTTAGTCCCAATTTACAGACCAGCAAACTGGGGCTCCAGGGCGTCGTGTTAGCCTCCCCAGTCGCAGTGAACAAGCCGCAGGGTCAAGGGTCAGAGGTACACCTGTTTGGCTCCCAAAGCCGTGGGTCCACTAAGTTGTGCCACCTCCTCTGTTGGTAGTGGTCAATGGTGGTGACATATTTTCACACGGGTCACATGGCAAAGCCCTTGGCCAGAGAGAACATTTCATGTGGGAGGGTGATTGCATGCATGTGACTGTGAGTTTGTGTGTAGGAGTGTTATAGCACAGCAGTGTGTGTGTGTGAGTGTGTATGAGAAAGTGTGAGCACGTGTGTGTGCTGTACGTGCAACCACATTCACGTGCATGTGTGCCACACTTCCCACGGGGTACAAGGTCAGCTCCGTGAGCTCTCGGGCGGGTGACACAGAGTTTCTGTAACCGATGAGGACTCCCGGGATGGGGCGGTGTTGCTCAGAGCCACAGGTGGGCCTGTGCCAGAACATTCCCTGAACCTCTGATCCAGTTTGCTTGGTGGTGGCTTGGGCTGAGGGCACTGGAGAGGAGCTCTCTGAGAAGTCCCACCCCTCAGTGGAAAACTGCTGACCCTAGAAGAAGGGCAGTAAAGAGAGATGGAGGTGAAGGTGAAACTCTGGAGGACGTTTGCGCCCTCAGGCTGCAGCTCCCACAAGCCCGTCAGTGGAAACCTGGGCTGGGGACATGACCTCTGATACCCTCTTAGACTCAGAGCTCACGGCTGCCCAGCCCCCTGTGTCTGCCGGGGCGTCAGGGCCCCCTAAGGACTACAGCATCTCTGTCAAGCAGGGAGAGTTTCTACCCCCGTTCCATGAAGGCTGAGCGGACGGGGCATGCCCGAGTCGCAGGGAGGTGGGCTCACCCCCCCATTTCCACGGCCTCCTGTGCTCCTTGCAGGAGGAGCCATGGGGGGCACCATCAGTGCCGTGGCCCTGCTGGTGGACCTGGCGGCGTCCAACGACGTCACTGACAGCACCCTGGCCTTCTTCCTGACGGCAGACGTCTTCCTCGGGCTCTGCGTCGGGCTCTACCTGCTGCTGCCGCGGCTGGAGTATGCCAGGTGAGGCCCCCCTCACCGTCAGGATGTTCCCCCAGCTCTGCTTCTTTGTACCCGCTGTCTCCCCAGGCCTCTCCCCACCTCTTCTTGCACTTCTTTCGTGCTTCTTGCTGCTCTTTTAACAACAGCCCTCAACTTTTTCTCGCATTTTATTCTTGTCAAGGCATTTCCTGATCCATTATCGTATTTGATGTAGGAGAGGCAGGAATCATTTGCCCTGTTCTGCAGGTGAAGAAACGGAGCCCGAGAAGGCCAGGGGGCCAGCCTGTGACCACACAGTGGGCGAGCTGGCAGAGCTGGGGAGGCCCAGGTCCTAGCTCTGCCCTTTCCCACGGGGACCCGTGTTGCCTGGCGGTGCTGAGCTCAGCCATTTACACCTGTGTGTCTTTTCTTCACTTTTTCTGTGTGCAGTTGTTACCGCCCTTCCCCATTTTACAGGTGAGGAAACCGAGGCTTTGTCAGCTAATAGACGTGTCCAGGCTGCTCACCTAGTGAATAGCAGACCCAGGTTTGAACCAGATTTGTTTCCAGAGCTGTGCCCTTTGCACCATTTTTGAGTCACGGAATGGGCAGAAGGCAGGAGGGTCCCAGCACTCCTGCTGTGTCCCTGTGTCCTGTTTCATGGTGCTTCACACGAGTGTGTCTCCAGTGGGGTGGCCAACCTTCCCCGTTCTCCTGGAACTGAGGGATTCCCAGGATGAGGGGCTTTCGGTGCTAAAACCGGGAAAGTCTCAGCAAATGGGAACAGTTGGTCACCTTCGTTTCTAATCTCACTTTCCAACTGAAATCCTCACAAAACCCTTTCCAGCTGAGCCTGTGAGACAGAGAACACCCAGGTGCTATGCTTGTCCCATGGAAGCTTCTTCTCTGCTGATTAAAACTTTGGTCAAGACTCCTGGGTTTACAGAAATGCATCAGACGAAGGAGCTTTGGAGGCAGCCAGGCTCCTGGGGCTGCTCAGACTAAATCTTAGTTAAACGGGAACCCATGGGTGCTGCCCCCAGGAGGAACGGACCCCCAGGCAGTGCGGGGGGCTGCTGGCTTGGGGAGGGCGACGGGAGACAGAGGTGGAAGAGCTTGATGAGGAAGAGGTTTCACCAGGGGAACTTGGCGTGGAGCCCTCTGAGAGCTGACTTCAGGCCGGGATCTGCCGCTGAGTCGGAGGGGAAGTAAGTATACTCCTTCCCCTAAATAGCGGTTGTGGAACAAGACAGAGTTCAAGTCTGCAGTGCCCGGCTCAGCATCACACGAGAAAGTGGTTTGGAGGAGGAGCCCTCCTACCGACTCGATTATTACCTGTAAGCACTTAGGATGGGCGGCCTGGCGGGGCCCTCAGAAGCTCACGGCTGCAGGACCCATCTATCTTACAGAGGAGGAAACTGAGCTCAGAGAGGGGCATGCCTGGCCTAATGTCACATGGGGAAACAGAGGGGGGCTGATACCAGAACCCAGCCATCACAGAGCTCCTGTTCTCCCAACCCCACACCAAGCTTTCTGTTTGGGATGTGGTCATGTGGTCAGCCTATGTCTCCTGGCTTTCAGCATCTGAGACCCAGAGAGGTTGAGTGACTCAGGCAAGGTCACACAGCAAGATGGCAAGGCCAAGCCACCTAAGTGTCTTCTACTCTGGTGAAAGTAGCAGAAATTGAAAATATTGATTATATCAGTGTTGAGGATATGGAGGGAAAGATACCTTTATAGACTTATTAGTTATAATTCTATTTTGAAGGGTTACTCTGTGTGTGGTGATCTAGCTGGAAATAGGCAAACATGGTACTCGCCCCAGGGAGCTGTCTTTTAACAAAGGATCCAAATGATAAAACATAAACTAACCCAATGGTTATAATTTGTGGTCAGTGTTTTTGAAGAAACCAATGACCGCATAAAGATTAACAGGGCCAGTGACTGGAGATGGGGCAGGGGAGTGGTACAGAGCAGAGACAGATTGGTCTTACCTATTTGGAGAATAATAAAATTTAAAAGAAAATTTTAACAAAATTTTTAAAGAAAAGCTTTTTTAAAAAAATAACTTATAATGTATTATTTGTTTCAGGGGTACAGGTCTGTGAATCATCAGTCTTACACAATTCACAGCGCTCACCATAACACATACCCTCCCCATTGTCCATCCCCCAGCTACCCCATCCCTCCTACCCCTCTCCCCTCCAGCAACCCTCAGCTTGTTTCCTGAGATTAAGAGTCTCTTATGGTTCGTCTCCCTCTCTGGTTTCATCTTGTTTTCATTTTTTGCTCTCTTTCCCTGTGATCCTCTGTCTTGTTTCTCAAATTTCACATATCAGTGAGATGGTATGATAATTGTCTTTCTCTGATTGACTTATTTCGCTCAGCATAATAGCCTGTAGTTCCATCCATGTCATCGCAAATGGCAAGACTTCTGGATCTTTGATGGCTGCATAATATTCCATTGAAAGATACAAATGTTTTGATCCAGAAGTTCCTTCTCTAGAAATCTGCTCTACTGAAGTCCTAGCATACAGGCGCAAGGCTGTGTGGGACTCTTCATTGCACCATTATTCATAGTAGAGAGAGATTGGAGCTAACCTTAATGTCCATCAGCAGGGGAGCAGTTAAATTGCATATGCATACGATGAAGTATGCCACCCAGCAGAGAGGCGTTGAGTCACGTGTCTCCATGTTAACAGTTGGCCACGAGATACTGTTCTAGATGCAATTATGGGCACGCATGTGTATATCATGCATGTTATGCATGTTATTTGGGCTGTTATGTAACACATTTGTATACATTATTTATATAATAGATTTAGGAATTGCCCTGTTGCGGGAAGTTTTGCAATGTGTATAGTTTGACCCCTTTTGCTTAAGGAACAGAACTAGGAAGGACACGTGGTGGGGGGAGAGGGGATGTTTGCCCATCCACGGAGCCATACACACCAGATTTTTAACCATCCGGACCTCCAAGGAGTGAGACCAGACCGAGGTGGCCATACTCGTTCTAGTCAACCGTTTTCCTTCTGTATTTTGAGTTCATTGCATCAAGCTTGTGCTATTTTTATAATTTTAAAAATTATATTTAAAGTGCTATTTTATCTCCATGTCTGGCCCAAAGCAAAATGAAAACAATGGCTCACTACGTGGCCGTTAGTGCTGCTTCCCTCTGTCCCTGCTTGCGGCCAGCCTTTCAGACAGCACCAGGATGGGCAGGCCAAGGACTGTGCGGGTCTCCCTGTGGCTGCCCGGGCACACATATGTCTGAGGGCTTCCTGAGGCTTCATGCACCAGGCCTGTGGGTCCCTTGCCCATGTCCCCAGAACTCCCAAGTGACCCTGCTTTCTGGGGCCCTCTGACCGTGAACCCTCTCCCTCTGCAGATTCTACCTGAGACCTGTTTGGCCAGCCCCTGTGTTTTCTGGGGAAGAGCAGCCACCCCAGGACTCCCCCAGCACCCCCTTGGCAGCCCTCAGATCCCGCGACTCCTCTATACCACCCCTCCGCCCCATCCTGAAGAAGACCGCCGGCCTGGGCTTCTGCGTTGTCTACCTCTTCTTCATCACCAGCCTCGTCTTCCCCGCCGTCTCCACCAACATCGAGTCCCTCGACAAGGGCTCGGGCTCGCCGTGGACCACCAGGTTCTTCATCCCCCTCACCACCTTCCTCCTGTATAACTTCGCCGACCTGTGTGGCCGGCAGGTCACAGCCTGGATTCAGGTGCCGGGGCCCAGGAGCAAGGTGCTCCCCGGGCTGGTGCTCCTCCGGACCTGCCTCCTCCCCCTCTTCATGTTCTGCAACTATCAGCCCCGCGTCCACCTGCACACGGTGCTCTTCCGGTCCGACCTCTACCCGGTGCTCTTCACCTCCCTGCTCGGCCTCAGCAACGGCTACCTCAGCACGCTGGCGCTCATGTACGGGCCGAAGATCGTGCCCCGCGAGCTGGCCGAGGCCACGGGGGTGGTGATGTCCTTCTATTTGTGCTTGGGCTTGGTCCTGGGCTCGGCCTGCTCCACCCTGCTCGTGCACCTCATCTAGAAGAGGCGTGATGGCAGGAACCTCGGAGCCCTGCGACAGACACTTAGGAGCCCCAGTGGGTGGGGAGCGAGTGTCGGGAGGGCTGGGTCAGCGTGCAGAAGAGAGCGGCAGCTGGGCCCGGCGCAGAGCCATCTCCCCGGGGAGCTGGCAGCCGTGCCAGGCACACATTCCAGACACTTTCAAGAGCTCTCCTGAGACCTCTGAAGGAGACCAAAAGACATGCGAGTGGGGCCCCGTGACCACAGTTACTCAGAGGACAGTGGACATGCCCATCGCCCTTCTAGTTACATTCCGCCTCGTTTTACAGCCTCTTGTGCCCTTTGTCGCCAGTGTTGACTCCAAACTGTTACAAGGCCAGTGCCAAAACCCGACCACAGGCCCTTTGCCTCTCCCAGTCTTGCTCCCTCCTGGGGACAGCAGGATGTAGCAATTCCCAGCCCTCCCTCTCCAGGGGGTTCCCCTAGAATAGAAATCTCCTGGAGGGACACCTAGCGGCTCAGTGGGTTAAGTGTCGGACTCTTGATTTTCAGCTCAGGTCTTGATCTCAGGGTCCTCTAGTGAGTTCGGGCCCAGGGCTGGGCTCCATACTGGGCACGTGGAGCCTACTTAAAAAAAAAAAAAAAAAAAAAAAAAGTCCACTGGAATAGCCAGTTCTCAGGCCCAAGACCCAAGGCTGTGCAGACCCCTGCTTTCTGTGGGCGAGAGAGTACCCGCCCACTGGACAGGGGACCCCAGAAAGACAGGCCTTCTAGGAATCCTCCATTCCCTAAACTTGGGCTCTAGAAGGCTCCCCCATCCTAGAGACTGAGGGGGTCAGGCCTGAGAGTTCTGACAGGGATCCTCCACGTGGTCTGTGGCTTGCTCTAGGGTGGGGGTCTTTTCACGTCCATGTTTACAAGATGTCAAGCACCTTGGTTCAAGGGCATAATGAATACCTGGATATTTAATGAGAGCCTGACTGGTGGCTGGATAAGTCAGGGTCGCGGCCAGAAACGGCATCCTCCAACTGGATGATGTGAGGATATTTGAAGACAGGGTATAGGAATCCTATGGGGTTGTGCCTTATATCCCAGAAATAGTAAGGCCCTGGTACCCTTACCCAGGGCTGGGGGCAGGGGGCATCTCCAGCCTGCTGTGACCCACAGGAGGTGTACTCCCTTCATCCTTCCCTCCTTCCCATCTCCTCAGAGCCCCTGTGCACTGAGCCACAGCCAAGCAGCAGGCAGAGTGGTGGGGCCTAGACTTGGAGGGGCAGCAGGTGTCTTGAAAGGGGGCACCACCCTCCCGGGCCCATATGCACATCAGGATAGCTCTGAAGCCTCAGCCAGGTCCTGGGTGGCGCTCTGTCCTGGTTTGTCCTGCATCTGCTGTGTATTTTGAAGCTGTTTTTGCAGCAGGCGACCCTCAATTTGTGTGGCCCCCCAGGATGGTCTGATGTGAGTAGTCATTTACATTTCTCCAGTTCCTTGAAGGCTTCTGCAGCGCTGTTCCTTGGGGGAGCAGGCTGGCTTGGGAATCCGAGAGAAAGGAGCTAGATCAGACCCAGGAGTTCTTTCTTGAGAGTCGTGCAGAAAGAACAGAGCTTGTCCCCCAAGAAGCAGCAACCCCAAGAGCCATCAATCCACCCGCTCCTTCTCGGAAGAGCTCGGGCACCCCGGTGTCCTGCATACAGCCGATTAGCCCTGGAAGCAGCCAGTAATCCACCCAGTGGGAGCAGCTTATGTTCCCCTCCTTCTCAGGCTAGGACACACTCCCTTTCTCCGGCCAGAGAATTAGAGAAGACACCCTGGAAAGGTTTTCTGAAACTTGGTATCTAGAATACAAAAAAAAAAATTTTTTTAGCTAAAAATAAATTCTCCTGTCTCTCCTCCCCTTGCAGGAGCCTGAAATCTCGCCCTTGGTTTTTTTCCCCCACCTCTAATGCTGGTGATCATTTGGTGGCAGTGGTCTGGCTGGTGACTCATCCCAACCTCAGGCTGAAGTGAAGGGGCAAGAGAGTAGCCAGCCGAGGGTGGAGGGGAGGGCGAGGGGAACAGGCCAGCTTCCCGGAGGAGGAGGCATCGGCTGCTTGGGGGCTTGTGGGGGTGATGCTGACTTAGTTGCTCACCTTCGTGAGCATTTCACAAGGGATCATTCCTTCCCAGGGAGGGAGGGAGGAAAGTGAAAACACGTCTCCCAGCAGAAGGACGGACAGTGGTGTTCAGACACGGTCGTTCCCAAGCACTGGACTTGCTCGTGGGGTTAGTCTCACGTGACCACAAGTGTGGAACTAGCTCACGCGCTTTGGGGAGTGAACCAAACTTGCTGAAGAGAAGGATATTTTTCAGTGTGAGGGTGGGGGAGTCCCCAAGAAGCTGGCTTTGCCTCCTAGTCTCTGATTCGATCCCAAGGGCCAGTTTTTAGTACGTGCCCTTGTCTATATTCCAGACCATACATATCTTTATTTTCCTCCTTTTATTCAACAAAGAAAGCCAGAGGCAGCCACCAGAGCGGACTCTTCGACTAGCGAGTGACAGGCGCTTCTAAGAAAACGTTTGTTCCTACAAGAGGGGATGTCATTCGCAAAAGACTCCTCCTTCTGCCATCTCTGGCCCAGGGCTGCCTCAAGAAGATTTGGGGCCCCCACAGCAGCTTGGACATGATGTGGGAGGAGATCACTGCAGGACCCCGGCTTCTGAGACCATGTAATGCTTTAAAGAGAACTCCAAGTAGAAGAGAGAGGGCCAGAAGTCAGCTGAGAGGTTTCATTCCATCGGCATGGGCAGTTGCATTGACAGCCCAGGCTCACCTTTGTGGGCTTTCTGAGCAAAGCTGCTAGTATCTGTTTGCCATCCTCACTTCCTCGGTGACGGCGCCGGCTGGGCCTGAGTCATTGCTGCCCTCCACCTACTGGCTGAGGTTGGCCCACTTCCCAGTTCAGCTTGGACCCTGGCAGGATTCCAGAAGGGATTTCGGCCCCACAGCAGGTGGGAGTAGTCAGCAGGCCACAGACCCAGCATCCAACCTTTCCATCAGCCCCCCAGAGCCCTCGCCCGGTGCTGTCCTCCGCCAGGTGCTTCACCTCGATTACCTCCCCATCCATAGCTGAAAACAAGAAGGCTCAGAAAGACTAAGTAACGTACCCAAGGGCACTTAGCTACCAGGTGGCCTAGACAAGAATCAAATCCAGCTCTCCCTAAACTGAGAGGTCCTCGCCCGCCCTGCCCTCTTGCTCCCCTGCTTGAACCTTGACTTTCTCCTTGGTTCTTGAACCCTGTCTCCCTGACTCCCTACCCCATGGCCTGGTGGGAGTGTTGTGCCAAGTAGATGGATTGCCCACTGGCCCTGGCCTAACTGATTGGACCAGTGCAGCTGATCAGCCTCCTCTAGACTGGGTCCTCATGGACCCTGGCACAGGACCTTGGGTGGCTTCCAGCTCTTGCCCTGTCCAGTCTGAGCCCCAGTCCCTGCCCTCCTGGTCCCCACAGCCCCTTCTCTGCCTCACCAGCCCCTGCCGCTGAGGTCGCTACTGTGTGGCTGCTGGTGCTGGGCCCAGCTTTGGACACAGGGTTGTAGGACACAGAACATGGTTTGGGATTCAGGAAGCCTTGCCCCCTACCTCCACCAGGCACTGGCTCTGAGTCACGTTGTCTTTGGGACCTCACTTCCTCATCTGCAAAGGGAATGATAAGTTCTGGAATGTGACTGTCCAGGGTGCCAGTGAGCCAACCCAACACACCCACTCTTTCCTGACACCCAGCCCACATCAGCCGGGCTGCACCAGGCCTCACAGTGCACGTGGCAGGCTGACCCAGACTCAGCCTGACAGATGACCTCAACTTCAGGCTGCCGTGGGCTTGACCCAAGGGAGAATGATGGAGTCGGTCATGCTCTCTGTCCTCACAAGACTCCGGCCAGCTGATGTGATGGCCCTGTGCATCCCCCTGTTCCTGCCCTTGCCTGCCAGTGGGAGGGAGCTCCAGGCCTGCAGTGTGTGGGAGGACTGGACAGCCAGGGCTTCGGGCACCCGCCCCACGTGGGAGTTCTGGTTCTGCCACCTCCCAGATGGGTGCTTTGGCCCAGTCTTGCTGTTACCCTCTCCCATCTGAAATGAGAAGCTTCTCAGGGCCGCTGTAAGAGGTAACAAAGCCCCTGGGTTGTAGGTAGAAGAACCCAGCAAATAGCAGATCCTTAACAGACTTTCTGCTGCTTCCGGGACAGTGCGGCATCCTGCACTTCGGAACCTGTCCCTTGCCCGGTCCCAGGGCCCAGCACCTCTGGTCCTGATGCCTGCTCTTTACCGCCCTGCCTGGGTCTGGCCTAGACACATCCGACCTGGGGGCTGGGTGGCTGAGGCAGAAAGCTGGGGCTCCCAAGACCTAGACCACACTCTGCCCCTTGCTTTGACCTCTGGGCTGGCCCCGTCGATCTGTTGTTAAGCCTCATCTGGAAAAGTGGCCCCCTCCCGCCCTGCCTCCCTCATCCACAGGTGGCTAGCTACACAGATGCTCTGTAGACACTGGTCGTGTCTCAAAGTGGTTCTGGGCTCTGGAGCCGGCCAGCCCAGGTCTGAGTCTCACCACTTCCTTGTCCTTGCACCAGGGGCAAGTTCAGCCTGACTGGCCATGGTTGTTCCAGCCACTCGTCTGGCTGTTGTGTGTGTTAAGTGGCATGGTGGTAACTCACAGAAAATCTTCAGGATTGAGCCCAGTGTAATTGGTGCTCCTTGCCAGCTTCCAGAAGGCTGTATATTTGTCTCTTCCCAGTTTACCTAACCTGTGAGTACTAACTCGTTGACGTTGTCTCTTTCACTCACTAGACTCTGGACGTGTCCCCTGTGCCAGCTGTCCTGCCCCTCCCCTGCCCACCTCTCAAAGCCACATCTCCCAGTGCGGCCCACCGTTGGGGCCAACAGAGTCTGCTCTGTGGAGCATAATGAGGGCAGAGCATGCTAAAGGCCCTGGACTTCTTCTGTCCTTGTTTTCTTCCAAGAGCCCTACACAGGTGTTTTTCCGCCCCCCTGGGAGCAGTGAGAGGCTCCCGGAGCACTGAGAGCATGTGCAGAAGTCTGTGTGCTTCTGGGCAGAGGGACCACAGACATCTGTCAGGCCATCAGAGGAATCCGTGTTCTAAGGTTTTAGATCC